GTAGATGCTGGCGGCAGTTGTCGGATTCAGGTCTTGTTGCTGTGAACAGAATTTTGCAGGATTACATGTTAAATACACTTGTTTGCACTTTTTCGGTTGTAGGTTTTAGACTGACACAGTAGCGTGTGTGAGACGGCTGTGTGAAGCATATATTTTCAGTCAACGTCTGGCGCCACATGATGCCATTTTCAGGATAACCCACTGTGAAACTGAATCTAACACCCTGCTTTTAAGCCAGTAGCAGATAGAAGAGACCAGTATTTCTTATCATTTACCTCGTGGCACCGAGTCATACTGATCGCAGGCTCGCTTGTAATCATTTATTTTAGTCTGATACGATAAAAATGGCTGTCTGGGATATTCTGATATAAAAAAATCAATCAATAGTTTTTGCTGTGACAGAAAGCCAGACGCTTTTATTCAGAATAATCTTCATCAAATGCCGTTACAGTGATGCACAAACAGATTTGACTGTGCTGTTAGCGTATCCCTGCAGACATTGTTGTTGAAGCTATTATATTCCACTCGCTGCGTTTGTGTAACGTGCCAGTGTTGACTCTGCAGCCTTGACTCTAGGCTCAAGCTTGTGTATTTGTATGTGTGTGTTGTTGCTTTTTTCAGAGTCATAAAGACAAGATTCGGCAAAAGGAGCGCCACAAAAAGTCGAGCGACAACCTGAGCTCCGCCGTGACATCCAGCGGCATAGAAAAGGTATCCGAGGACACCACACAGTGATTGAGAGACACCGCGATGTCTCAGTCAGTGCTTTAATGGTTTTCCGTCTGTGTTGGGACAGATTTCCTCAAGTCACCACAGCAGCAAGGACGGCGAGGGAAAGTCCAAGAAGCTGAGCTCGCACGGTCACAGTCATCGGAGCAAGAAGACCGGAAGCACCGGCAAGAGCTGCTCCTCATCGTCCTGCTCCTCCAGTCCATTCAACACAGGTACCACACGAAGGGTCGATTTCTTCTCGAGTTCAGATGTGATCGATGCCCGTGCAGCCCGGTACATCGACAGTACAGTTTGAATTATTTGTATACGCTTCTCGGTAATCTAGCCGAATGATATTTTATAATTACAGTATAATTTGTAGTAAAAGTCGCACGTCGTCTTCCTGTCTGCTCTACATCGTCCCCGGCAAATACAGACCAAAAAACGTAAAGCAAACCGAGTTTTAGTTTTAGTTTGATCTTCATCCAGCCGTGCTGTGGTTCTGTAGGACAAACAGAGCGGCTGGAAACTTGTGGATGAGGTGGAGTGATGCAGGACTGCTGCTGGCTGCCTCTGTGGGAGGAGAGGCTGCTGCTCCACTAAGATGTAACAGGGGTGATTGCATCATCTTGGCTGTTGTTGTGTTGTTGAGAAAAACAGAAGCTCACTGGGATTTTTATCCCCACACGTGCCCCTAAATTCAATTTATGTTCAGCGAGGATCCATTTCTGTCTCGAATATGAGAGAAACGCTCCCTCTGTAGAGTCCTGCACCAGTTGGTTTTCTTTCAGTGGCCTCGTACTTTTTACATTTTAAAATATGTAAGCAAGAAAAAACACTGTCATTAGTGAAGCTTTCAGTTAAGCCAGTTTGTTTCACAGGTAAACTTCTAACTGGGATTGGTGGAAGCAGCGTCATTGCCCTGTGCAGACAAGTGCATGACCAGTTAGCTTCCCAGCATCCTCTCTTACTGGGTTCTGTTGAACCCTGGAGACGGAGGGAGGTCGCGTGGCCGTTTGTGTCGGACTTTAACTCTTTGTTTTTCTCCTTCAGGTGGTTCCCTGTCGTCTGCTCAGGAGTTTCATCAGTTCTTATCTTCTTCCCGCCTCGAGCGCGAACATGACCGAGGAGGTGACGACCACAGCGGAGAGGAGCGCAAGGAGCGTCACAGGAGACCGGCAGTCCAGGCGGAGGATGAGGAGGAGGAGGAGGATGAAAAGGAAGAGGAAAAAGACGAGGAGGAGGAAGAGGAGGAGGAGGACTGTAAATACCACAAGCCACCAGCACTGACCCCCGCTGAGGGCCCGCTAGCGGGGTCGCAAGGTCACGACAGGCCAGAGGGCAACTCCAGCCCTTTCGAGAACAAAGTGACCATCTCCACCTTCGGGTCCATCATGCGCATCACGTCGTCGTCGGGGCTCGGCAGCAGCAGCAAGATCCGAAAGATCTCCTCGTCGAGCGACTACAAACCCTCCAAATCTCTCTGCAAGCCATCCCAGCTGAGCACACCGCCCATCCTGGAGGAGGCCGACCCGGAGGACAAAGCCACGCTTCCGCCTCCGCTGCCTCGAGAGAGGAGGCACCGCGGCAACAAGAAGAGCCGCCACGGCCCAGGGCGCCCGCGGGGGAGCAAGAACCGAGAGAGGAGGGGGGAGGAGGAGCACCACCACCACCATCACCACACGGCGCCGCCTCCCCTAGCCTTAACCTCGTCGCTCTACCCGAGCCCGTCCTCCATCCCCCACCCCACCTTCTCCTCGACGCTGCCTCCCACCGCCACCTCTTCCACTTCCTCTTCTTTCTCCTCCTCCTCGTCCTCCACTGGTAGTTTTTCTACAGGCCGCGGCAACTCGCTGCTCGGCTCTGGTGAGTCTGAGCGAGTGGGCGTGTGCGGTAGCCCTCTAGCTTCCTGTGTGTGGTGAAGGGAAAAAACTGAAGCGCTATCTCTTTGCACTTTGGTGCATTTCCATTACACGCAGCAGCTTATCTCTGCATCAGAAGCGCAGCGAAACAAACTCCTGGAATTAAGAATGAACGGAATAAGTCGACGTTTTCGCGGCAACACTTTTAAAATATTTGTTAAATCTCTTTCAGAACGTTTGTGTAATCTGTGCGAGGCAGTGATATTGTCCTACATGGTGTTTTTGTGTGCGCCGCACGTGTCTGTAGTGCATTTCCTGCCCTACTTTCCATTTGATTGGCTCACGTGTTCCTCTTTCTGCAGTCATACGACTTCTAAGATGAAAACGACAAACACCTTATTTCCTTTCTTTCTTTTATGTCTCTCAGGCATCTACTCCAGTCTCAAGGACCCTCTCACACTGGGCGGGGGTGTCTGCAGTACCCCCCTTTCCCTGGGTGGAGGGGTGTGTAGCACCTCCTTGTCCCTGGGAGGGGGCATGTGTAGCACCCCTCTCTCCTCAGGACTCCTTCCATCCCACTCCTCGCTGTCTCTTCCACCAGTCAATGCTGTGTCAAACACACAGGTACGTCACA